AGGACCTACTTTGAAGGGTTATGGTTGAGAAAAAGGCTTTCTAGCACTTTTTCAAAACTCCTCACCATTTACAAGTTTCATAAAAAACTCGATAAGTTTGAAGATATTTATCCTTATAATGCCAATCATCAATATAAGCCTCGAATCTAGGTATATGCTCATAAGAGATGTCATAGCATGGTAATAAGGAATTTCAAATAATTGTTACAATCTACATGTCCATATCTTTTTATTTACATTGATAATGAACTTATTATCATTATGAATGACTTCAAAACCTTCATTTCCATTCCAATACAATTCACATTTTTCAACCAAGTCTAGCTTGCTCTTTAAATTTCCTTTTAATCCTAGGACCGTGATTCTATTCCACTTCAATGCTAAATCTTAATTAGTATGCAGTTTATTCATAACGACACTCTAATATTCTTTAACATTGTATAAATAAACTTGCATCTAGCCTCAACAATTCTACCATTAAATACTTCTATTAAATTATTATCAATAATATCACAAGTGGTATTTATGTGAAAGAAAATCTTACACTAATGTTTAGAATCATTCTTCATCATCGACTTATAACTTGTTATAGTTTTCTCTTTTAAGAGATTTATGAACTTCTTAAAATCGGATATATGAGTTACTTTAGCACTTATCTAGTATAGCTTCTATAAATCCTTTCTAGGGTTGTTTTTCTCTAGATGGCATACAAATGTCTAACACAAAACCCGTGCTCTGCCATTGGCATCATTTCTACTACAACTTCCAATAATCTTTAACATTTAGCATTAAATGTTAATATTATTAAATACTAAAATAAAAAATTAAGTTCTAAATCAAACTAAAAAATAATAAGTGTGAGTGTATCACCTTTTGTTGGTCGGAGATTATTCTCCATCCATCACCATCATTAATATCAATATAAGTTTTCAAATTCTTCAAAAGCCATGATTAAGTATTAAAAGATTTTGTATCAACCATTGTCCAAGCAATTAGGAAAATTTGGTTGTTCCTATCCCTACTAATTGCTGATAAAAGCAGCCTTTTACACACTATCTTAAGAAAACATCCATCAAGTCTTATAACTTTTCTAAAGCCAGTAAGACCTTTTTTACAACACTCAAAGATAATGTACATTGTCTCAAAAATTGATAATAATCGTGGTTATAGTACGGATCCGTCACAACATAACCATATTGTACTTCTAGAATTAGATCATATTAGCTCATATTTGTAGTCTTCAAGTTTAGCATACTCTACTTTAGTTTCACCTCTAATTTGTTCCGTCACCCTCTCTTTAGCTCTGCCATATTTTTGACGAAACAATTTTTAGACCATATTTGTCCCTCGCAACATCTCTTAATTCATAAAATTTCATTGATGATAGAAGCCTCATTTTATTAAACATATTATTGATCAACCAAGTACTTGAAAGTTTGTTGTAGTATAAAGAAGGAATACATTGATGCTCATCAATGTAAGTTTTTTCCTTGAAATCATGTGAGTTTCTCTCATATGATACATATATTTCTCAATTACATTTTAGAGCCTTACAGATTGCCCTCACCATAAAATCAATATTCTTCTTATATATAAAGTCACGTTTCGAAGAATTGAATGCTTTATAAAAGCCTCTTTAAATTAATTTGAATCATCAAACACCAAGTCAAAATGAAATAAGGTTTCTCAACTTTTACATCATAATCAAGTTGTCTTGCTCTTTTTCCTAATTGCAATATCATGATATTCATCATCGGTTTCTTCATAACTGCAATTATCGTTTTCTAAAATGTATTCGAGTCATATATCCTACATCAATATCTAGGATTCGATTAATCCTTGTTGGCGGCATCTTTCCTAATAGTCTCTTTGATGCTTCTTTTTAATACTTAACCCTTAAACTCTTTTGTGTAAAACTTCTTCAAATTTACCCTTGTGTTTTCACAACATCATCATCATTTGGCCGATAATCAACATCAATATCAATCAAATCAGCTTTATCAACTTCGAATCTAACTCATCAAGATTTAAACCATCTTCTTTACCACTTTAATCAATATCTCCAATGTCCACCCATCATTATTACTGATCTCAATTTCACCATTAACTTTTTCATCATTTTCAGCTTCATTATTGACTCTTCCATTATCCTCATCTATCCTACCAACAAAACCATTAACTACATTCTCACCCATATGTTCATCAAGCTTCACATAACATTGGTTAGTGGAATTTCCCACCTTAATAAAACCATCTATAGTATTACGTCTCTCTAAAAACTTAACTAATCGTATCATAGCAAGATCAAAATCCAAAGGAAAACCCCTTTTTCTATTCAATCAACGAGGGTTGGAGAAATATATATCAAAAATATGCATAACCTTTTTTTCTTTGAAAAAATCAATAATGTCCCACATACAAAAGTTGTCAATATTTTTAATAAAATAAATAACTTTTTTACCTCTCAAATGTTCAAATTTGGCATCATTGACAAACCATCCACCATAATGCAAGACAAGTTTGGGTCTTTGTGTGGATCGGTCCCCCACCACTACGACAAGTAAACAAAAACAAAATGAATAAAGATAATAAAAAGATTGCAAACAGAGACAAACCATTTCAATACAAAAAAAAAAAAAAAACCATAAAAGTACATATTCTAGATGTCTCCATCTCTTTGACTTTCGATTCTTGCAATCGTATCCTTCTCAAAAGTTGTTGTTTGTGTTTTTAGATTCTGAATTTAGGGTACAAGATGACGGAAAAAGAGGAAGGTAAAGTTTAAAAAGCATGCGTGTTTTTAGGTTCTAATTTTAAGGTTCAAGTTAACAAAAGAATAGGAAGATCAAGTCAAAGAACCAAATTTTATGTACTAAAAATGCAATTATCCCTAGCAATACGAAGTAGGCATGTCGAGTATAAGAAGGAAAATTTTTTTTATTAGTTTGCTTGCATGCAAATTTCTTTTATTAAATTTTGGTTTTTTTTTTTTTTTGTTCAAATATCACAAAGGTAAAACCGATTTATATTCACTCAACCTTACAATAAAATTCGGAATAATTGCATTATTAGTATACCAATTTTGAACTTCTTTTCAATCGAGTACATCATTTGTTTTACAAGTATATCAACTTTTTTTAAAATACCAATCAAGTTTTTTAGTCAAATTTTCCATCTAATGATGACATGACGAGTTAACATAGAAGACTAGATGACTATATTGTCTTTTTTTTCTTCCTAAATTATTATTATTATTATTATTATTATTTATTTTTTAAAAAAATTGATGATATACATAAATTGGCTACAAGTTTTTTTTATTTTAATGAATAGTTAAATGATAATAATAAATTGGGATGAAAGAAAAAAAAAAGAAGAAGAACACAACATAGTTATTTAGTCTTTTAAGTTAACTAACATGTCATCACTAGACAAAAAAATTTGCCGGATAAACTTGATTGACATTTTCAAAAAAATTGATATACTTAAACAAAAAACAAAAAAAAAAAAGTTACCTAATTGAAAAAAGGTTCAAAGTTAATATGCTTATAATATAGTTTTCCACATAAAATTCTATTGGTAATGTTATTTTTTCTATCATGTTGTAGTTTGAAATCTAAACACTTGACAATTTGACATACTAATATTTCTATTGAATGAAAAAAAAAAACTCATGGCTTACCTCTCATTATCAACCTAGTAAGCTCTACATTAAATTGTCCTAAAAGTACAAAAGATTAAAATAATAATAATAATAATCAAAAGGTCAAAGATATAGCTTTCGTTGGCCAAAAGTTATGAGGTGTTTATACTTAATAACTTTTAAAAAAAGAAATAGTCTTTTATTTTAAAAAATAAGAAATAACAAACCATAAAACAAACAAATATATATTTGTTACACAACTATATATATATATAATAAGTTCTTTTTGAGAGTCTTGAAAAGTAAATTATAAATTAGTCTTTATAGTTTTGAGAAGTAAATTAATTAGTCTTTTTAGTTTCAAAAACTAATTATTTAATTTTTTTATCAATTTTATTTTATTTTTTAATTTGTTTTTAAAAATAGAAAAAATAAATAGATATTATGAAAAGATTGATGATAAAAGAATATATTATTTTTAATGAGGTAATATTAAATCAAATGTGCTTAACACTAATGAAAGATTAAAAAATTAATTTTTAAAACAAGAAGAACTAGTCTTTTTAGTTTCAAAAACTAATTATTTAATTTTTTATCAATTTTATTTTGTTTTTTAATTTGTTTTTAAAAATAGAAAAAATAAATAGATATTATGAAAAGATTGATGATAAAAGAATATATTATTTTTAATGAGGTAATATTAAATCAAATGTGCTTAACACTGATGAAAGATTAAAAAATTAATTTTTAAAACAAGAAGAACTAATTAATTTACTTCTCAAAACTACAGGAACTAATTTATAATTTACTTTAGTATTGGCTCTTCAATGAAAAATCCATACTTTGCGGACTTGCTTGTGAAACACATCATAGATTGGAGACTCATTTGCGACGTTCCCTAAAAATACAAGTAGTAAGTACGCGCCTTGCAAAAGCGTGAAACGAACGTATTGTATATCCGGGCACACCAAAGCGTTCAAAAACCTCAAACTCAAAAAATCCATGGAGAGAGAGAATATCGAATTTCTCTTCTCCCAAGTCCCATCTAGCAAATTAGAAAGTATAAAATATAATCCTTCCATATACTTCGTGTTAAAAAACATTGCTTTCTTCGTTAAATCGACTTGTTCATACTACATTATCAGCTAGCTAGTGCATTTTTGTTCTCTCTCTAGAGCCTAAACCCCTCAGGCTATAGCACTAGCACTACGCACTACACATTTCCATTTAACTATGTAAGTAGTCTTGAAAGTTTGATAATATTTGTTTTTAAGTTGGAATTATGTTTATGCTTTTATAATGCTGAGTTGATTTTGATATTAATGTACTTTTTAGGGAGAGCGGGGGATTGAAACCAATGGATGCAGAGCAACTGAGAGAGAATGCACATATAATGGTTGATTTTATTGCTGATTATTACAAATCCATTGAGAATTTCCCTGTTCTCAGTCAAGTTGAGGTTTTTTGCTCTTCTTCACTTTTTTCTCCTTTTCTTTATCTGGGGTTTCTTTCTTTTTGTTATCTCTTTAATGTTATGAATTTGGTTTTCTCTATATGTTCAGCCAGGATATCTACGCAAACTTCTGCCGGATTCTGCTCCAAATCAACCTGAATCACTGCAAAATGTTCTTGATGGTGAATTTTCTTTGTTTGATGATTGCTTACCATATACGTTGCATAAACAAATTAAAAAAGGAACAAAAAAAGATAGTTTTTTTGCCACTTCTTTCTTCATGTGAATGCAGATGTTCAAGCAAAGATATTACCGGGAGTGACCCATTGGCAAAGCCCCAATTATTTTGCTTATTATCCATCTAACAGCAGTGTCGCCGGATTTTTGGGAGAAATGCTTAGTGCTGGTATTAATATGGTGGGTTTTAGTTGGATAACTTCTCCTGCTGCAACTGAGCTTGAAATGATTGTTCTAGATTGGCTTGGTAAATTGCTCAAGTTACCCCAAGATTTTCTCTCCACTGGTAAGGCCCTTCTGATGAATGAATGAATTATTTCACTTTAAAGTTAATAAGGAAAAGCAGCACAGATATATCTTCATACAATTTTAATAAGATATCTACTAACTTGATCAGTCTATGTGTTCATGTGGATGGATGTCAGAAAATGCATGGTAAATCGTCATTCATATTGCCGAAACCAGCTGTGTTCAGTCTTTGCAGTTTATTTTCTGAAATGTTTTGTACAAAGTTTTCGATAGCTATCTGAAATAGCATCGGACAGTGATTAATTCATTTACAGGACACTTGTTTAAGCAGTTTTAATGCGAGAGTTGGGAATACAAAATTTTAAATTATTGATATTAGGATTCTTGTGGATGCTGCAATTTTGTGAGGCTCATGGAATTAGGTTACAGGACAAGGTGGTGGAGTGATACAGGGCACTGCAAGTGAAGCTGTTCTAGTTGTACTTGTGGCTGCCCGTGATAAGGTCTTGAGGAGGCTTGGAAAAAATGCCCTTCAAAAGCTTGTGGTTTATGCGTCTGACCAAACACACTCTGCTTTGCAAAAAGCCTGCCAGGTATCTTAACAAAAATATGCACAAGCATCCATATTAAAAATGCATCCATTATTCACATATTTTGAAGAGGAAAAATGCGGTTTTGTTTTGGAGGGGTAGAGGAGGAGGAATTGGACTTCAAAACTTTATTTGTGACAACTGCATTGTGTTTCACATTTCCTTAGATCAAGCATAATTCAAATAATACTATTTGAGGTGAGTGATAATAAGTGCACTTCATGTATGTCTTGTGACTGCATTTCAACTTCTTATTACATAGTATTACTCTTATCTTTGTTATATTGCATTGTGTATCAAATTTTCATAGTCTTAAATCAAATAAAATCAAGCAGTACTATTTGAAGAACAAGTAATGCAACCATACAAACATGCATAAAATTATTTTTTCTAAAGCCAGTCACCAGATGTCTTTCTTTAAAGTTGCATCATGTACATGCTGTAAACCAATTTGGTGTAGTACTAAAACCTATTGCTTTAGCAGCTTGAGGAAATAACAACTCCCAGTACATTCCATTTCCATGGAGTTCTTCAAACTCTCCATTTAGCAGTCACATGTTCTTAATTTTTATTTTTTCTTACAATTCTATACAGCTGTGTGTGCATATATTAATTGAGACATTTATGCTTCCTAGTTACAATGGTGAAGTATTTCTTGCTATTTGTGAAGTCTTTTATATTCTTATGATATTGTTTTTCTAATGGCAGATAGGAGGGATCCATCCAGAAAATTGCAAACTGCTAAAAACAGATTCTTCAACGGATTATGCCCTTTCTCCAGATTTACTTAGTAAAGCAATTTCAGATGACATTTCCTTGGGATTGATCCCATTCTTTTTATGTGGCACAGTAAGAAACTGAAAAATATTCCTTGGTTGCTTTGTATTGATTCTCTTTTACCTTGACCATTTGACTTCTCTTAACGATCTTTCAATATGATATTTGTAGGATTGCTATAAGAGGTGTGTAATTTTTTGGTCTTTTAAACGTGGTAATGGAATAAGTTAATGTATCCGAAAAGGTTTATTGGCTTTTGCATGAACAAGCACAGTTTTATCTTTAGGTATTAATACTGATCATGATTTGGGAATATGAAAATCTTCTTTGAAACCTACACCAATCATCTGTTTGCTCTATTGGAATGAACTAGAAAAAGCTTATTAAATCTTTGATTAGTTGACTGTTAAGACATTCAGTCACTGAATTTTGAATTGGTTGCAAATATGTTTTTGTTCAATTGGTTCCCAAAAAATTAGTTTGATCACACTAGGTGTAGATGAATTTGCCACTTATATGCTGGAGAATAATGAATCTAGTTTCTTGTCATCTGCAGCACATATAAAGCTTACTGAATTCAAGAACTGGATATAGGTCTGTGGATCCTTATCGTTTTTGACTTAAAGTATGTTGGATTATTGGGGTATCACTGAAATGTGCAATGCATTTAGGGCTTAATTATTAGAATTCATATGCAAAAGGACATTAACTATTTTTGGCTTGGGACAAAACTCTAGAAGTAGCATTGTTTTTTGCAATTCGTGCATGTAATGGTTTCTCTCAAGACTAGAACCTTACAATTCGCATGCAAACTAGAACTTCTACTATTGCATTAGATGATGGCTCCTTAATAGGATAACAAAATATAACTTGTTTGGTTTCTAATGGGTGTTGAAGTTGTAAGCTTTATAATACAAGACAATTTGGTTGGACTAGCAATAATCCAGATATTAAGTTCAGGTTCCATTTTAATTAATGATCATGTACATAAATCCTTATACATGCTTATGTAATGTGATAGTAATTAGATTTTCTTCCTTCATTCCTTTTTTTTTTTTTGTGGTTTTTTTTGGTATTTAATGTACCAAAAACCTTTAATGTTCTTGCAGGTAGGTACTACATCATCAACAGCTGCTGATCCTTTGCTTGCCTTGGGAAAGATTACTAAGGTAACAGGTAGCCTGTGTTTAGTGAAATAAGCAAGAAGTCTGCAGCCTATACAAAACCTCTATTGTTATCAAGATCCAGCTGCAACTGCAAGTGCTGTCTTGCCTTTATGATTAAATTTTAACTGGTCGAATTTTGTTTAGAGAGCATATGGAAGGGAAAAGTTGGTAACTAGCATGAGATAAGCCAAACAAACAGACTACCCCGGCTGCATGGTAAAATGAATTCACCAAGTAATCATGTATATATGTGTATGTATGTATGTATAGCATCCTAGTAGAATGCCTAAAGAAACTGTGAATTGATATGAAGCAGGAAATATTGATTGTATTGCCATACCTCTGCTGGTATTACAACTTACATATATATAGCTACATATAGCATCTAAACTAGGAAATTAAAGCTATAAATCTTCTTAAACTCCTTGATTAGAGCCTTAAATTCCTATATTTACATCCTAAAATACACCCGAATATTCTAAATAGAATATTTCCTATTCCAACACTCCCTCTCAATTTGGCTTGTAAATGTTTTCCATTGCCGACTTGCTTACCGGAAAATCAAATTGTTTTTTCAGTAGACCTTTGGTAAGTATATCAGCCACTTGTTGAGAAGTAGGAATATAAGGAACGCAAATTAGCCCACTTTCAAGTTTCTCCTTGATAAAGTGCCTATCAACTTTAATATGTTTAGTCCGATCATGAAGAACCGGATTATGAGCAATTGAAATGGCAGCTTTGTTATCACAATAAATTTTCATAGGAAGTGATGCAGGAAGCTTTAAATCTTCAAGCAATTTCTTAATCCACATAGCTTCACAAATCCCTTGTGCAAGAGATCTAAATTCGCTTCAAGCACTACTTCGTGCCACAACATTTTGCTTCTTGCTTCTCCAAGTAACTAAATTTCCTCCCACAAATGTACAATATCCAAATGTTGATTGCCCGTCCGTCACACTACTAGCCCAATCAGCATCGAGTATAGACTTTCACTCGAAAGGGATCATGCTTTTTAAATATCAAACCCTTTCCCGGAGTCCCTTTTAGGTACTTTATTACCTATAGGCAGCTTCAAAATGCTCACGACTCGATGCATGTATGAATTGGCTTATCATGCTTACCGCAAATGCTATATTAGGGCGAGTGTGTGATAGATATATAAGTCCGCCTACCAAGCATTGAAATTTTTCATTTTCTATCACATCCTTGATTTTAGCATGATTTAGTTTGAGATTTACCTCAATTGGAGTTTTAGCAAGTCTTGCAACCTAGAAGACTCGTTTTATTTAGTAAATCAAGGACATATTTCCTTTGATTTACAAAGATTCCTTCATGCGATCTTGCAAATTCCATGCTAAGAAAATATTTCAATTCCTAGGTCTTTAATCTCAAAGTCTTCGACTAGTCTCTTTTTCAATCTTGCTAATTCATCAAGATCATCACCCGTTAGTATCATGTGATCAACATATACAATGAGGATTGCTATCTTCCCTTTATCGAGTGTGTTCATAAAAAAAAGTATGATCTCGTCCGACTTTGATGATACCCATATCCTTTTAAAGTCTTCCCAAACTGTTCAACCCATACCCTTGGAGACTGTTTGAGGCCATACAATGACTTCTTAAGTCCGCAAACTTTGTTTTGACCAACAAACTCTTCCAAACCAGGAGGTGGACTCATAAAGACTTCTCTTCCAAATCACCGTTTAGGAAAGCATTTTTCACATCTAGTTGGTATAAGACCCAATTGAAATTAACTGTAAGAGATAATAAAACACGTATAGAGTTAATTTTTGCTATTAGGGCAAAGGTTTTCCGATAATTAACACCATATGTTTGAGCAAATCCCTTAGCCACAAGTCTAGCCTTGTATCTCTCTACATTACCATCCGTCTTGCATTTCACGGTAAATACTCATTTACACCCAACTCGTTTTCCGACCTCTAGGCAGCTCTACAATTTCCCATGTTCCATTTTTCTTTAGTGCATTTATTTCCTCCATAACAGTACTGTTCTCTAATTTGGATCATCAAGTGCTTTCTAAATGTTTTTTGGAACAAACGAGGTTAGAGATTTTTGAAGTAAATGTCTTATGGTTTTGAGAGAGACGATCATAAGACGGATATTTTGCAATTGGGTGATTAGTGCAAGAACGAGTTCCTTTTCTAAGTGCAATAGGAACATCAAGATCACAATATTCATGAGAAACGAGCATTGGGTAAAATAGGAGGTGAAATAGGAGGATTAGTATTTTGAGAAGTGTTTTGAGTACTCGAATCCGAAGTAATGGATTGACTAGGTGCTGAAAGAACGATAGGTTCTTTACCCTTTTGATGTTTCTTTCTCCTTGCATAAAAAATGACCTCGGGTTCTTGATCCTTAGGATTATTTTGCGGTATTTCTCCCCGTCAAAGATTCAACAATGTTTGGCAAAACAAGTATTCTTATCGGTAGAAATTGTTGTCATTTTCGAAAACACTAGGTGTAAAGGCCACTCGTTTAAGGTAAAGTAGTAAAAATAGGTATGTTGTCCCAACTATTTTCTTCCTCTAAACTCTCCCCTTGAAGAAAATGCTTTTGAAAATAAGGCTAATTTTCAAGAAATAAAACATCCATAGTAACTAGGTCTTTGGACGAAAACACTTGTACCCCTTTTGATTTGACGCATAGCCAATAAAAACATATTTTTTAGCCCTTGGATCAAGCTTGGACCGATCCTTATTGGGTAAATGAACATAAGTTGTGCACTTAAATATTTTAAGGGGTAAATTGGATGAAATTCGGTTTTCGGGAAAGAAATTTTTAAAGCACTCAAGAGGAGTAATGAATTTAAGTACATGAGTAGGCATTTTATTTGTCACATATGTTGTCGCTAAAACTACTTCTCCCTAGAGATACTTAGGGATATGCATAGAAAACATAAGAGATTGGGCAACTTTTAATAAGTGTCGATTTTTCGCTCAGCCTATACCATTTTGCTGAGGTGCATCAACACATGTGGATTGATGATGAATGCCCTTATCTTTAAAAAAATTTCTAAGAATTTCATTGAAAAACTCGATACCATTATTGGTATGAAAAATATCAATTTTAGTTTGAAATTGAGTTTCAATCATGTTATAAAAGTTTTGGAACACTCGTCTTAACTTCGATTTATCAGCCGATAAATATACCTAACACAACCTAATATGATCATCAACGAAGGTTACAAACCATTTTTTGCTCGAATAAGTAGGGATCCGTGAAGGACTCCATGCATCACTATGAATTAAATAAAATGGTCATGAAGGTTGATAAGGTTTTGAAGGATAAATATTTTTATGCCTTTTTGACAAAATGCAATGTTCACAATGAAAAAGAGAACTATCCGAGCCCTTAAATAAGGTAGGAAACAATTTTTTAAGATAAAGAAAATTAGGATGCCCTAATCTATAGTGCTAGAGCATTATTTTATCTTTACCAAGGACAGAATTGATACTACTTAGTCCTTGAAGTCTTTTATCTTTGGAGACTTCATCTTCAAAATAGTAAAGACCATCGATCATTCTAGCATTGCCAATTTTTTTCCTCGAATTCTGATCTTGAAACACACAATAGGAATCAAAGAAAGTGACACTATAATTAGAATCTTTGATAATTTGTCGACGGATAGAAGATTGCATGCAAGTTTTGGTACATGCGTAACGTATTTAAGGGATAAAATATCCGACAAAATAATCGAACCTTTGCCAGCAATAAATGAGTAGGACCCATCTCGCTATACGAATTTTTTCATGACCCGAACAAGGAATATGAGTATGAAACAAATTTGAAAAACTTGTCATATGGTCGGATGCTCCGGAATCAAGGATCCATGGAGCGGATTGTGATAAATAGTAACACACTAAGGCATTTAAATCACTATCTCGTTTGAGCCAAAGAAGCATTAGGAATACTAGATAATCCAAAATTAGATTTGAGCATGAAGTTCTTTACATCCCAAACTAGATAGGCCGGATCATCTATGTTTGGCTCATTCTTCTCACCAGCTTGAATACCCAATCTTTCCCCTGTCGTGGATGTACATGTGCACAGCATTGAGACCAACACAAAGAATCTTTGGTTTTGTAAGAAGTAGATGGATGGATAAGAATGGGTGTAGAATTTGATGTAATTTCAGACATGGTGGTGAGGAAAAAAATAAATTAGAGTGGTTGACGGTTAGGGTTTTTTGTTTAGAAAAAATAGACCAGCTACGATATCATGTGAATTGATATGAAGTAGGAAATATTGATTGTATTGCTGTACCTCTATTGGTGTTACAACTTACATATATATAGCTACATATAACATCTAAACTAGGAAATTAAAGCTATAAATCTTCCCGAACTCCTTAATTAGAGCCTTAAATTGCTATATTTACATCTTAAAATACACCCAAAATGTTCTAAATTCCTATTCCAACAGAAACATTTGAATTACCCTAGAAACATGAAATCAAATTTAACCTGCATATTAGACGGCCTATATGGCATGTAGTTTAATTATGATTATAAATTCCGGAGTCCTGTATCCTAAAAAACTCCATAAGTACACACCTGTTCTTAAACCCTTTTTGAGGATTTTTTTACCAAGACCTGTATAAGTGAAGATCCTATAATGTATGATGACTTTGATGACACTAACATGAAAGTTTGTGTTTTCGATAACAAAGGTTGTATACATGGCCTCTTGACAGAGTAATGGAATATGGTTTCATGTGGATGCTGCATATGCTGGAAGTGCTTGTATATGCCCAGAATATCGCCCATACATTGATGGTGTTGAAGAAGCTGACTCTTTTAACATGAACGCTCATAAATGGTTTCTAACGAACTTTGATTGTTCGGCTCTTTGGGTAAAGGTATCCTGTGTTCTTCTCTGCACATATCCATCACATGTTGGCCTTCATGTTTAATTATTTTACATGTTTTTCATACTATCTGCACCAATCATTGTTTTGTCCATGGACACTTACAGTTCTCTCTCACTAGTGCTAGAATCTGAACATCTTTCTCTCTCAAATGCACATGCACACGCACTCTCATGTACACATAAGTTGCAGTTCCTACATGGTTGAACCTCTTATCGGGCAGTAGCAGGTGCCGAACAAGAATTGGGGTGGATTTGTGTGGAGTGTGAGTAACGTTAAAATTTTCTCATGGAATATACATGAGTATCATTTCCTTTTCCTGTAGTACTTGCAGTGAAACAGTACTGGACTCTTTTACATCCATTGCTCCGTGCATATGCATATTTCTGTCTGATCAAAAAGTAAAAAATATTTGAAGGTCTTCACTTGACGGTCAGATATGTTTACCAACGTCCTCTTCTGTATAAGGATATATCAAACTTCTTTTGTTCAACCAGTTTATGCTGCAGGGATTGTTGAAAACAATTGTGGGAGGTGCTCAACGACTCAAGAAAATTTATGTTTTGTGAAATCTAGAAATAATGCATGATGAAATCTCTTTTAGTGTCACACTATTGTCACCAAATGAATCATGAAAATGCTGTATAAGCAATTGGCATACAGCTCTTGAAATTTGTTTGAAATGTCAAGTGGTCCATGTAGTTCCAGATAAACAAGGATTCTTGGCAGATCTAAAATATCCTAGTTTCTAATTGCCAAAAAAGAAATGAAAAAACTAGTTGCTATGATTAAAACACTGTTACTATAATTGCTATAACTCCTACATGTTTTGTGTTACAGTTTTTGCTCCTTCGGTTAGTTAGTTGTTTGAATATGCAAATACATTAAGTACTTCTATTTTTATGCTTGACAACAGGATAGGAATGCTTTAATCCAGTCCCTCTCCACAAATCCAGAGTTCCTGAAGAACAAAGTAAGCATCCTTAATCTTATTTTCATAAAATTGGCTAAATATTGGATTATGTTGTGAGGACTTGAAGGGTGGCAATTTTCATTATGTCCCAAAGTAAGTGTGTTAAGTAAATTTAATTAAACTGCCGTTGGATGTGTCTTCGTCGATCTAAATTTTGAAAGGTCCAAATTAGCCTATTTAATTTTCTTAGAAGTTATGCATGCTAATCTCCCAACTCGAGGTTTACAGTTTTCATGCCATTGGATGTGTCTTTGTCAATCTAAAATTCGAAAGGTCCAAATTAGCCTATTTAATTTTCTTAGAAGTTATGCATGCTAATCTCCCAGCTTGTTTTCTTGACATATTTATGACTTGAAAGTCCCAGATTGTGTAATATTAGAACAAGTTGCTAGCTCTAGATGATTGGAGTTTTAATATCACACTAATCAAATTCTTAACAAATCACAATTTATCGATCTATTGTACATTTCGGTTATGGTATTTCATAACATATTGGCATGCCAGGCTTCTCAAGCAAACGACGTTGTGGACTACAAAGATTGGCAAATTCCTCTTGGACGTCGATTTAGGTGTGCCATCAAACTTTTGCATCAAAAACACTCACAATTTACTTCAGAGAATTTTCAGCCAAAACAATAAAATTTGGAAAAAAATATTAATGCATCTTTGTACAAGTTTCTCTACTACACAATCATGTTTCATATACCAAAAGTGCTTTTTTTTTTTTTTTTTTTTTTTGTTTCCACTACCAAAAAGTGCAATTTAATCATATTGACAATGCTGCCTCACAGATCACTGAAACTGTGGATGGTACTGCGTTTATATGGTTTGGAAAATTTACAATGCTACATCAGAAATCATATCAACTTGGCTAAATGTTTTGAAGGACTTGTTGCTGCAGATTCAAGATTTGAGGTAGATAGACCCTTTTGTGTTTCTTATTATTGGCTTTTTTTTCCTTGGTGTGTGTGTTTCTATTTTCTTTTGATGCCTAATTGGATCTCATCTCTTGAATATCCATGTAACTTTCTAATACATTAACTGTTCACAGGGCTGCAAACTTTTTAACCAAGTCTAGTTACTCTATTCTTTATATTCGTAACACCTTTAATTTCACCAAATTGGCAGATTTTAGTTGATACAGTGGCTATACTTTAATTGAAGTTGGTCCTAAATCTTGTTAGCATGGTAGAGAACAGTTTACATTGGAAGGGTGGATGACCTGATGCTGAAATGGTTTTTCTCATATTTATTGAGGGGGTGTGAGTAATGCGTTTCATTTCAGCTAGTCCAACTAACATGGTATGAGCCATTGCTGGGCCTAGCGCTATTAAGCATGAGATGTCTATTGAAACCCTTGGAAAAAGATAGGAAATAAGTGTGTAACCTTCCTTCAATTGCCAGAATAAGAAAAGTGGTTATGATAGTTCATCCCCTTCGCACACAACCACACTGGTGTGCCTTAAAACAGGAAATATCCTTATGGTGGTTCTCTTATAATATAATAGGCTAGATGCATAAAACTAGGCTGAAAGATTGAAAATTGGTGTGAGAGAGGTACCATAAGCAACCACTATCATTCCGGTGCAGTTTTGAATCATTTCTAAAGCAACATACATATGAAACTTCGCTACGACTATGGTTTTTTATGCGATTTTTATGCAAATCAATATTTACTATTTCCAATACCCTTATTCTTTTTGCAGGTGGTTACCCCTCGGATATTTTCATTGGTTTGTTTTCGCCTTCTACCTCCTGACAACAGTGAAGATCACGGAAACAGTCTGAACCATGACCTATTAGATGCTGTAAACTCAACTGGGAAAATTTTCTTATCGCATACAGTAAGATCAATGTTACTTTTATATATCTTTTCGGCAGAAAGTTAAATAATGATGCAGTGCTTTCTTTATTTTTTTAAATTTCTTATCTACAAAAAGAAAGGGAAAGGAGAAATCCTAATTTACTTGTCTGATCATAACCACATTTTGCAGGTTCTGTCAGGCAAGTACATATTGCGTTTTGCTGTGGGAGCACCCTTGACTGAAGAGAGGCATGTTACTGCAGCATGGAAGGTTTTGCAAGATGAGACCTCTGCTTTATCGAGGAGTCTATAAGCCAAATTAATCCTTCTTGTGCCATCTACCTGTGGTTGATGAAATTGATTTACCACACTTCATTCCCTCCTTTTTCCTTTGGATTCATTTCATGTTGTCATCGTCATTGGAAATATTGGCATGAACAACAAAGGCCTTTTTCCTGGGATGAATTTTTTTGTCAAAGAACAATGTACCCTACATACATACATGTCACGCAAATCAAATTTGTTAAATGAAACTTCTTTTATCTCAGTATTTCAACAAAATGTATGTCATTTAACATGCATAACCCATCATGAATCTAATGCTTTAATGTCTGTATGATTCCCAAAATTGACATCACAAAAGAGGAACAGAATTTTTGGCAGGCAATAAAAGCCAAGTTGCTGATATTTTGCCTCAATGGGATCACCAGCCTAATTATTTATATTTCTTCCAAGTTTTATCCAATTGTGAGTTAAAGAAAAAGGATGGATACCATAATCGGCTCGAACCAGATTACGATAAAGTTTATACCAATGTTGATTCTGCAATAACTTGCTGGGAATATCCCAATCTAAAATTCTTGAAAAATGGTCCCAAACGGCTTGGTTCGCCACGAGGCAGGGTCCCTGAGGTTATCTTATCCTTCTCTGAAGACCTGAACCTGAGAAGTGGTCCTGTGAGCATTAAAAACGTTACTTTTGGCATATTACTTCCGCCAGAGCATATCCAGGATGAGAAAGCCGGAGTAATTGGCAAATGCAACACTTGGTCTTCCTACAAAGTACAAACTACAAAGGCATGCTTTCAAAAACGCAAAAAGGCCCAAATTAAAGTTTTTGTCTTGACACCAATTATTCTTTTCTAGGTTTTTCTTTTTTTTTTCAATCCCATTTTTTTGTCATATTAAAGGAGTACATTATAAGTTAGTCTTTCTCATTTCAAAAAAGAATTAATTAGTTTCTTAAAAGCTAATCATTTAGTTGTCTATTTTTTAATTTCATCAATAACTTAATTATTTCTTTAATTTTTTGTTAGATTATTAATTTTTTCTCTCAAATTACTTTTCTTTTAATGTCTTATTTATCTCATTCACCCACTATCTTTCTCTCTCCTCATTTAAAAATCAAATGAAGAGCAATTTAAGGACAAAAATCACTAATCTAAAGAAAAAGCTGATGAAATAATTAAATTATTAATAAAATTATTATAAAATATATATAAATAATAAGAGAATTGAAAAAAATGATGATAAGAAAATGAAATCATTATAATGTGGATACAAGTGATAAGGACTTCAAAGTTTCTCTTATTCTCTCAGAAAACTTGTACACTAACTAATGAACAATTAAGCCTATTTATAGGCTTCAAATTTGAGAAGAGAATTGAAAGGGAATATGAATAATCAATTGTATAACCCTTTCAATTTCTCATATTGAATGATGAATTAAATCATATTAAGAATCATGAGTAGTGGAGATATAAAAAATAGATGAACATGATAATGGACAATCATTATTTCATAACACTCCCTCTTGAATGTCCATTGTACAAGGAATACGCCTCGTTAAAATCTTACTAGGAAAAAACCTAGTGGAAAAAAAATCCTAATGAAGGAAAAAGAGTACAATATTCCTTATACACATTAATCTCAATGTTGGCCTCCCCTTTTGAAAACATCATTAGAGATCTCTAAGCCGATGTATCTCAATCTTGTGAATCATCTTCTCAAAAGTTGTGATAGGTAATGCTTTAGTGAATAAATTTGTTGGATTGTATTCTTCCTTCAATGGAATTATCCAAGTAGCATTATCCTTATATGATACTCGTTAGAACTTCTTTTGTCGATAGATAAACCGCATGTCTCTCGGATATGATGGATCGTTGATCTTAGCCAAACACATTCTCGACTTGCCTCGTGAATTGATATTCCGCATTATTTGAAGATGTGATAGCTATAGTTTGCTTCATAGAACTCCAAGATATAGCTACATCTCTATATGTAAATATATAACCGAGTTGTGACGAGCTTTGTATGGATAAGATAAATAACATGCATCCGCATAACCAATTAATATTGTCTTTGATTTATTGGAGTAATAAAAGCCCATATCAATTATTCCTCGAAGATAACGTAGTATATATTTAACTTTATTTCAATATCTCCGCATTGAAACAAAACTATGACTTGTTAATAATTTATAGAAAAGACTATATTAGGTTGAGTATTATTAGAAAGAAATATCAATACACTAGTGGCACTAAGATATTGTACTTCAAGACCAAGTAGTTATTTATTATCTTCTTGAGGTCGAAAAGGATCTTTTTGGATATCAAGTGAATGAAGTACCATTGGGCTAGTCAATGAATGATCTTTATATAGAATCATTGTAAAACTTTTTTCTATATAAATTGACTGGAAAAAATCTCTTTCTCCGAGTGCTCGAACCTGCAGTCGAGATAACATTTTATTTTTCCAAGATATTCACATCAAATTCTATTTTTAGATAACTTATGACACTTAAAATCTCTTCGAGAGTTCCAATAATATTTAAGTTATTATCAATATATACAACAAACCCCTTTTTAAATAAAAATATATAAAAAAATAAGGTTTTATTTTTTTATAACTTTCTTTTAATAATTATTGAAGTTATTATATCATATGTATACGGGTTAGTAATAAACAAGCAGATATAAAAATAAAATATAAAAAATATAGTATAAATTAAATTTCTAAAAACTAAAATAATAAAATAAATACTAAAATAATCCTAATAAAGATCTCTATAATTTAATTGAATTCTTATCTCGAGAATTATATTACATGCTTCGGCATGTTAAATCCTTCTAGGACTTTCATACTCGATTCATTTCAAATGAACAAATAAATTATGATCACATTTATTAAATGTATGCATATGAATATTTTTCATTATATGAGAATATGTCTCCTCATAGTCAATGTCGGTTCTTTGCAAAAACTTTTATGTTAAAAGTTTTACCTTGTATCTTACAATCTCCTCTTTCTTATTTTGTATTCGCATAAATACACATTTGTATCTCACTAGCTTAACATATTTAGGTGCTTTAGCTATGGGTTCAAAAAAACTACTATTTTATACGAGAACATAATTCTACCTAGATTGCTCTTTTCATTTAGGCCAATCATCTTTATGTCGACATTCTTCAATAATTTAGGCTCGGGATCCTTATTTTCATTCATAATATCAATTGCAATATTATATATAGAAATCTTATCAATAGATGTTTCTTTTCGGTCCTATTTTCTTTATGTATTAATATAATTTATCAAAATCTTTTGATTTTTCTCAACCATTTAGACTTCTTCGGAAGCCTATTATCGAAATATCTTGGATCGTTTTATGAATATTTACATCATTTATATTTTCATCTTACCATTTTCTTTTAGGGATTTTTATTTTTAGAATCGATCGGTCTTCTACGCTTCGAGCATGCTTTAGATTCATTAGCTATAACATTAATAGACTATCCTTCGGGAAATCAATTCTAATAGGAGCATTCTCAGTGAGGACATGCATTTTAGTTACTTTTTTAGGATCCGAGAATGCATCTAGTAGTTGGTTTATAATACCTTGTAAATAAATTATCTTTTGAACTTCTAGTTCACATTGTTTTATACCAAATTGATATAAAGATAGAGTATTCTATGTAATGTCTTTTTCTAACATTTTCAACTCGCTTATTTTTTTTATTCTCTCTCCCCGATGTTGGAAAAATCATTTCATTAAAATGACAGATCAATAAATCAAGCCGTAAAAATATCACTTATTCATGATTCAAGATATTTAATTATTAAAAAGAATTGAAATCCAACATATATTCCCAGTCTCCTTTAAGTGCTCATTTTATTTCTTTATGAAGGAGCACTATAGATATACACTACAATGCCAAAAATTCTTAAATAAGAAATATTTAGCTCATGACCATAAATCAATCGAAGATGAGAGAATTTCGATAACTTATGGGTCCGATGCGAATAAGTGTTGCTTGGATGTAAGATTGCATATCCCCAAACATAAATAGAGAGTTTTATTTTTAAATAATGGTTTAGCTATCAATTAGATTTTTTTGATAAATAATTTTGCTAAACCCTTATGAGTATGAACATGAGCAATGAGATGTTCAACCTTTATTCTAATAGTCAATCAATAATAATTTAATGCTTGAGAAATAAATTCACCAAGCACTATCAAGGTGACTTATTTTAATGTCATAATCTGAAAATTATGCTCGAAATCAAATTATTTGCTAGCAATCTCGAAAACGCAAGGTTTCGAGTAGATAATAAGCATATGTGTGACCATCTTGTGGATGTATTTATTAAAATCGTAAAATATTTAAATGGTCCACATGGTGGATGAATTGATTCACATATATCACCTTGAATACATTCTAAAATACTAAAGATTCAATCTCAATTCCACTTGGTGATGGCTTAATAATCAATTTATCTTGACAACATATAGAACATGAAAATTCATTAAATTGAAAAATCTTCTAGCTCTTCAATAGATGTCCATATAAATTTTTAATAATTTTTCGCATCATGAAAGACCCAAGATAACACAACTGGTCATGTCACATAATAAAAGTATTTGAATTAGTAAACTTCTAGTTTACTATAGTAATTTATTTCAATCATTCCAATATTCGTAATAAAAACTAGAAGAGAAAGGAGATAAATTTTCAATACATATTTTCTACCCGAGTATAATGATTATAATATATAGGTATCCACATTTCCTATCTTAATATGATATCAATTTAGATGAATATATTTAAAACTCAACAAGTTTCTATGAGACTTTGAAGAGAATAGTACATCATTTATAATAAAATTTATCCTTTCAAATAATAATATATTTTGCTCTTCTAGAGTCTTTAAATTATGTCACTTCAAGTAATAATATATCGACTCTTCTAGAGCCTTTAAAAGTTATCCCTTCAAGTAATAATATATCCACTCTTCTAGAGCTTTAAAAATTTATCTC